CCCCCAAAAAATTAATTATTCCTAATCAATTCAAAATAAACCAAATAATAGGAGAAATCGGGAATCTTTTAGAAAAGTTTGATGTATTTGTTGATGTACATAGGTAACTACTGGTGACAATTTTGGAGGGTGTTATTTTGATGGTGTGGATGATGTTGTGATTGTGTCCATTTTTTTTGTGTTGCTGGAGATTTATTTTTGGATGGAAAGGCAACATTAATATGTAGTGTACTGCTCTCATGTTTTACATGGGCCTATGTATAGTTAAATTATTGTGAAAGACACCTAGTTTTTGATAATCTATCGTATGCTCATTCTTGCTTTCCTGGCTTCACTTTTGTTAATTGTTATTTGCTACATATGGCTAGAAGTGCCTGAAATTCAACATTGCAAGTGATTTTAGATTTGTTGGGTTGTGATAAATGTTGGTTGGTATCTGTTGTGCATATGAAAGGGAACTAGTAAAACTTGGTTGCAGGTTCCTAAAAAATTCATTTTGGCTTCAACCAATCCTTGCTAGAGTACTCAATGTTAGACGGGCTGTGTTACCTGAAAGAAACTCAGTCTGTCATTCTACATTAATGTTAATCAGCTTCTCATTACAACTCTTCATCAGTGTGTCATTTTCTTCACGGCATCCCTTCATTCACCATGTGAAAAACCCGACGACATATCAATACACTAAGAAAGGATCATAATTACACTTTCCTTATCCACCCCAAAAAAGGAGAGAGCATTTAACATCTTGAGTTTACAATGAAAAACAAATCGGTTGACAACCTTAACATGACTTCCCACTAACAACATTAAAGGTTCCAGCATGAAGATCCCAACAAATAACATTTCACACAAGTGCCCACAAAATATTTAAACTAATTATACTAATGATAAGCTCCAGTACATCACAATATCGACCACCAAAGAAAGACACTTCAACAATACTTAACATCAACAGCAAAACTAAAAACATGAAAACTCTAGTTCTTACTACAAACTGTAACAATATTTAACATCAACAACACATAAGCTAATTCTTCTCCTCGAGTACATTGTGGAAGTTTTTCACGACTCTCTTCCCCTTCGTTTCCACTCTCTATCGTAACTCGTTCACTTGTGTGAATGGTTATATTTAATGATACCTCAAACTCCTTTTTGTGGGTAATTTGAGCAAAATTTGTGAATCGAATCGACAGATCTTCAATCGGAACCACATTTATTTGTCTTTAACAACATTAGACTGACTTTCATCCTTTAATGGTTTTCGTTTGTCGGGCGAGATGTCGCTCCACTCGAAAAACCAGAAATTTTTGGTGTAAAAAAAGAATAACACACCTATATTTTTTGTCTTCACTATTTCCATTCATTTCGTGAAATCATCGGCACATTCTGGACATCATTGCTTTCTGGGACATACCTATAATTGGTGCCCCGATTGATTGCAACTATGGCAAATCCCCTTGTTATTTCCTATCAAACAAAACATGAAATTCCGATGATATACCACAACAAAACACACAAATTTTAGCGAACATATCAAAAATCCATTTTTTTTTTTTTAAATATATAGTTAGAGATGGCAGAACTGTATTAGTGAACTCCAATTCCCATGGACTGACTGTACTAGTAAAATCCTAAAATCAAACAACAACACTGCTCGACAGATATGGAAAAGGGAAATAGAAAACAATGTCGTGAACACTGGGAAAACATTTCATTAACACTTAAATCGGAACAACTCAAATTCAATTATTTCAATAAAAAATCATCTGCGACAACACATACAGTGATTTTCGAAAAAAAAATTACTTGCAAATTATTCTTGCGATTTTAACCAAAACAACACATATTGAAAAATTTTCTTCAATGCCTCCGTTTGTTTTCTCCATGTCAAGGGATTAACCCCCGTTTGGCCTCCATTAATTTTCATTCTATTACATTTCATTTTTCTATCTCCTATTTTCAACCACACAATCTTCCATAAAAAAATATTATAAGTAAATCGAAAAAAATTTCATTATTTTTCAATCACTTATTTTTTAAAAGAATAATATTCTATCCATTTTCATTTCGACAAAACAGGGGCCGAACGGGGGCTAAGCAAAACAATTTTACTATGCATTCAATTTCGAATCAATGTTGATAAGGAGTTACGGTTCCCCCTATTTGGAATCTCAGATTTTGATACGAAGGTTGGTTTCTATCTCCATGTTCATCCCCTTGATTTTCAAATCACTCTTTCATCTTGGGGTGTTTGGGAGTTGATTAATTTAACATGTAGCTTCGTTAATTCCGTTTGTGGGATTTAATTTTTTCTGTTTGAGTTTTTAAACGGCTACGTGTGAAACCATCATCCACATAGGCGCTTGGATGAGACGAAAGTTAACCGATGAGCAATGAAATGCAACTTAACAAATTTAAGTGAGTAATTAAGTGTAAAATAAAGTACAGTGAACGAACATGACATTATGTAAAGTTCAGTGTCTATGCAAACATTTAACTCCCAACAAGGACATAATCTTATCCAGTAAAGAATGGATGAATGTGACCAAAAAAAAAAAAAAATGAATGGATGAATGAATGTGTCATCAATGTATATGTATGAGCTATACCTAATACAATTTATGAATAATCAAATCTAATAAATAACATAATAAAATTGAAATCTGCAATTGTACGTTACAACAATGGGGTGGTACACGGAGAGGAATAGATTACGGGGCGGATAAAGTCAGAAATAAATATAAGAAAGACAGAGGTTGCAGGAAGCGGAAGAAGAAACGGACACTTTTTTCCAGTTTTTATACGTTTTATTGGGGGTCACTCACATGACGCTTTATAAATAATCCTTCACCCTTGCCCCACCTCTGCCCCGTCTTTCCTTCTCCTTTGGACCCCTCTGATTCAATGCTTTACCGAACACACCACCACCCTTTTCTCTTCTCATTCAACCATTTTTCCCACTCTTCTCACCCTGATTTGCTTTCCTCTTCATCTTCTATGCAGGTACTTAAATCCTTTATTTTCACCTAATTTTGCCTTGCTTCCTTTAATTTTGTTAAATATTTTGCTTATTTGCATGTGGGTTTTTGGTTCCAGGGCATGGATTGCGCACAAGGGGCTTTGAGAAGCAGATTTGGGCCCGAGATGGGTTGGAAAAGCGCACCCCAACAGTCTTTTCTTGATGACATTTTGACGGTTAACGGAGGCCAAAGCGGCATTTCTGGCGGTGATGACTCCTTTGTTGATGACCTCCTTGACTTCTCTAATGGCTTTTCGGAGACAAAGGAAGAAGAACCGGAAATTGATGAACAAAAAACGGTAAATGACAAAAGCGTCGCCATTAACAATGACAGTGCTTTTTCTGTTAAAGAAGATTTTGAGTCTCTTCCTTGCAGCGAGCTAAGCGTTCCGGTGAGCCAAATTTCAAATTTTATGCATTCCCCCCCCCCCCCCCCCAAAACCACATTTTGTTGGAATTAACCGGTTTTGGAGGGTATATTTAAAGAAAGAAAACTGAGATGTGTTGTATTACAGGCAGAGGATTTGGAGAATTTGGAGTGGTTATCTCATTTTGTGGAAGAGTCATTTTCCGAGTATTCTCTGACCGGTAAATTGCCATCAAACCCGCCGGAGAACAGGTCCGAACCGGAAATTTCAGTTAAGGAGAAGCCCAGTTTCACCACTCCGGTTCAGACCAAGGCCAGAACGAAACGAACCAGGACTGGTGTACGAATTTGGCCACTAGGATTGCCGGAGCCGTCGTCTTCTTCCTCATCTTCAACCTCTTCAACGACGTCGTTTCCTGTCCCAAATCCTTATCTCGTTTATGCAATCCCTGGTAGCCAGACCGCCGAGTCTTTGCTAAGAAACCCTCCGGTCAAGAGGCAGAAAAAGAAGCCTACTGACGGTGTTGGAGCACCAAGGAGATGCAGCCATTGTGGCGTTACGAAAACCCCACAGTGGCGGGCCGGTCCGCTCGGTTCCAAGACCCTTTGTAACGCATGTGGAGTGAGATATAAGTCGGGCCGCCTCCTACCAGAATACAGACCGGCTTGTAGCCCCAGTTTCTCAATTGAGTTACATTCTAACAACCACCGGAAAGTTTTGGAGATGCGGCAGAAAAAGGAAGTTGAACCGGCGCCGGTTGTTCCAAGTTTTTGAAGAATTTTAATTATAAGTAAAATTACAGATGCAAGAAGAAAATTAGTTAACCGGTTGAGAGTGTACCGGTTTAGGTTAAATTAGGCCCGGTTCAATTCTATCAATGGACCATGATTTGAATTGCTGCAGGTTACTACTCTAGGACTGGTTAGAGTTACTCCATTGTAATTCTAATTAGAAGTTCAAAATTTATCCTTTGGATCTCTACTCTTTGATAATTTTTACTGCACCTACATTTATTTATTATTATTATTATTATTATTTTTTTTTTGGTGTGTGTGACTGGAAAGATAAAACATGGTATTGTGCGGTGGGAATTGGCAATTTATTTGGTAGTGTGTAACTGCATGTATTTGAAACGGTTCAACCTTTTGTGGGACATTTGTAGAATAGTGAAACCATTATGAGGTTCGAAAATACAATTCGAAATGTGTCACAATGGTGGGATTGGTTAGGCTTTGGGATGGAGCAATTTTATGCGATTTCCAACGTTGCACAAAATTTATGATCAGTTTTGCACTATTTTGGTGCAAATCTTGCACCAAACTAAGCTTTTGTTGGAGCTCCATTTTTGGTTCAAAATATATTTTAGAATAATGTTTTATTAAATAATGTGTGGTTAAAATTAAAAAAAAAATTATGAGTTTGCATGTAAAATTATTTTACGTGAGAATGTATGACTAAAAATGTGTTTTGAAGAAATGAGTTTTTGATTATTTGATGGGAATTAAAATCATATTTTTAATAGATTTTAATAAAAGTTAATGAGCTATGTGGTTGAAATGTTGTGGAGCTCATAAAATGTGGCTGAAATTAACTGTTGATTTTAACTTATATTAAAATGAATTATCACTTAACACGAGCTAAAAAATTGTCTCCAATCCAAACATGGAAAAAAAATGCAATTTGCAATAGTGTTATGACGAAGAATGTGTAGTTAAAAATAAGAGAACATGTGGTTAAATTTTCATCGTTTTCTTCATTTTTTAAGTTTTTAACAATTTATTTATCTAAAAATATATATAGTTATTTGTTTTATTACTACATAAACTACTAAATAAATAATTACATTTAATTAATGAAAAATATGGAATTATTTAATAAATTTTTAAAATATAATACACGTAATACAAAATGCACATAATAATAACAATCATAATAATAATACAATTACATTAAGAATAAAGTTTACTTTATAACAAAAAAGGGACATAGAGAAGAAAATTTTATTGTATGTGAAAAGCAAAATGGACAACATTTCCTTTGTAACATTTTGGTGCAAAGGATAGTGCATGGTTGAAGGAGTTTTGCTCTATTTTTGCATCATTATGGGATCTCCATTGGAGATGCTTTGAATTTGAAACTCTAATGTTATCTCCTTTATTCTTGTTTTTTATATATTGGTTTTATCTTTAAGAATGGTTATGAAAATCGACTGAAATAAGGATTGAATTATTGGATCACTGGTCAAGTCGTAGTTCAATTCTAATTTTATATATTCTAAAATCAAGATTAGCATACTAAGCTCATCATTTTATTACGGATTCCTCTTTTGTTTTTTGGCATACGAATTTCCTAAAATTCACAATTGAAGATAAGTCTTATACATGTTCCTCGTCCATTTGTAATAAAATATGCCCCTGTTTGGTACTCATTTTTGGAGCCAAAAATGCATTTTTTTTCGTCACATCAACACACAATTTTTAACTTCTACACTCTAATGGGGGACCTGCGATATGATGTTTAAAATGCATTTTCATCTAAAAAATGTGCACCAAATGGACTATATCTTTTTTGGATCGACTTAGTATATTAAGCGCTCTATTCTCGTTAGAGTGAATTTGTAATTCAAATTCAAACTTAGAACGCTCCAAGTAAATTTTTGTCGCAGTTTGAAATTGATTTGACCCAAGGCTAATTGTAAAATGCATGAATTCTTTTACTTTGTCATGATTAGAAATTTTAAATTGAAATTTTTGCCTCTTTGTTTGGGAATTGGGAGTATCTTCCAGAACCCTATGATATATGTATGGACGTTGATGTGGACCCGAATTGTTGTCCCATAGGTAATGCACATTCTGCAAAGCATCAAAATTTCTATGTTACCTTATCTATAAAGTTCCTTCACTATCACTTTATTTAGAGATTTTAGGGTAAAGATTATTCTTTTTATTTATTTATTTTCAATGTCTTACTTGTATAGGATGAATTGAATGATTTATTTAGGGTCGAGTAATTGACTAATTCCATTACAGGTCCCTATCTTTTTCAAGTGTGGCACTCAATTTCTTAAACTATCAGTTGCTGCATCCATATTCCTAACTTTTTAAAAGAGTGACACTCATGTCCATAGCTAACATAATTTAATTGAACAGTAAATAGCACTATCATGCTCACATTGAAGTTGGAGATGGGTTGAAGCAAAGGAATATGTTTCATGAACATTGAAGAATTTTACCTCATTAGGATTTTTTAGCTGTTGTTGAAGTCGATGCTTGATTCGTCCTAGATTAAGGAAAATCTTTTAAAATTTTTTTATCTTTTTAATTCGATATCACGTATCACATGGCCATTTGGTGTCAAATAAACGTTTTTCGTGCCATAATTTTAAAAGATTGGGTAGATGAGTTGATGTGATCCAAGCTACGAAATTCAGAAGAGTGAAATTAATAAGCCTAAAACCAAGTTTCATGTTGGGCTCGGAAATCGAAACAAAGTGGATCAACTTAGTTCAAGCCGAACATACTGCTCCAAATGGCGCGAATTTTCCTTATTTAGCTAAAATCTATATTTTTGGTATCTTTTATAACTTTTAGAATTTGATTTCATTTTAACTAGGCTTACGAAATCTTTCATTTATGTTATAACTCTAACTTATGGTAACTTTGAGTATTATTAGACTTTTATTCATTTTTAACTAGGTTTTATGGGTTTTCTATAAATTGGACCTATTATTTCATTGTAAATCAGAACTTTTATCATATATTCAATTGAAAAGCAAAAAGCTTTCTTCTCATTCTTCATTGAATTAATTTACTAAAATTATCAATATTTTAATTCTTGTGGCATTCAAACTTTTCCGGGTGAGATTTTCAAGTCTCGTGATCAAGAGGTCAACCTATTGTCGGCGATTGTTGATTGCTTGGTTCAATATTTGTGGGTCAAATTTAAAACTTTGGTTTCTTGACTTCTTGGATTTGAATCAATCTTTTGTGGATTTTGTAACTTCAATTGTTACGCGGGTTCGCATCAATTGGTATCAGAACTTAGGTTCAAAAAAAAAAAAAATTAAGGTTATATCCTTTTCTTTTTGTTTTGGGTCTTATTTTTCCTTTTCTTTGTGTTCTCCGTCTTTTTAAGTTTTCAAGCCATAAAAATACCAAAAAAATTCAAAAATTGTTTTTGGGCTAATTTAGTACCAAAATCAATTTTCGTTTGTTTCGATGATCTCCGTAGTTGAATTTCGGAGCAAAAAAATTTATTATTATTGTTTGATTTATTTCAAAAATTATCAGCTTTTAATTGATTCTTCTTGAGTCAATTTATTTCAGTCTTGTCCATCCCAAAATGTAAGAACCACTCTCTTGAATTAAGAGTTTCCATTCAAATTTGTCCAATTCTTTTCTTTCGTTCTTGAGTCTTCTAAACTTACAATTCTCACTCATATCCCGATTTGAATTCTATAAGAATAATTCCTTGTTGAATTCGAAATTGTTCTTTAAATCACTTGGGCGAAAGCATTAAGTAGAAAAGGTAGAGTGGTGAGATTAATAGAGGGTAAAAGCCAACTTGAGTAATACACGAGAGTATATATGTGAGGCAGATCATAAATTAGATTTAGGATGTTTGACAAGAAACATTAAACTTCAAGCAGGAACTACAATCAAGTTAACATGTCATATAAGGTAATACGGTGGTTCGAAAAATTATTTGAAGATGTGTGGGATAGATTGGATAGGCAAGAGACAAGGATGGAAAGGCAAGACCCAGTACTTGCCAATCTATGACAGGGAGAACCCAAGTAAGAAGACAAGGTAGGCGGGAGCCTAGGCTAGAGAATTGGTTAGAATATGATGACGATAGTGACTTAGATGAAAATGCAATAGTGGATGCCGAGTTAGGAAAAATAAGGGATAGAGAAGTTCGGCATGAAATGAGGGATAGAGAACCTATGAGAGATGGAATTGATGGGAGTATGAAGGTGGAGAGACAGTTGAAGCGAAAGGGGACAGCTAGGTATCCATCGGGTTCTTCGAGTTCTAATCCTTCTTGGAAACCTAAGTGGGATGATAATAGAGGTGATGAGACTGTTGCAAGTAGTAAGACCGAACCACCAAGTGAAAAGTAGGAAGTTGTTAGTAAAACTACACACAAGGCGAATTCCCAACCTTCTAGGAATTAGGATATCAAATGCTATAGGTGCTTGGGATCGGGGCACATTGCTTCTCAACGTATGAATAAAAGAGTAATGATCTTGCGTGCCAATAGGAAATAGTGAGTGATAATGATGGAGATGAGATGCCTAAATTATAGGATACTAGTGATGGTCGTAAGCAAAGCACTTGTGGTGATGCGTGCTTTCAATATACAAATTAAAGTGGATGATGAAGAGTAGCAACGAGAAAACATCTTTCATACTAGATGCCATGTAAAAAACAAGGTATGTAGTTTGATTATTAATGGGGGTAGTACTAATATTGCTAGTACTACACTTGTTGAGAAATTAAAATTGACTATGACAAACATCCTAAGCCTTATAAATTGTAATAGGTTGATGATTGTGGAGAGGTTAGAGTATGTAGACAAGTCTTGGTGAATTTAATAAAATTGGAAAGTACAGTGTGATTTTGTTCCTATGCATGCAAGGCATATTTTGTTGGGTAGGGTATGGCAGTATGATAGGCGGGTGAAGCATGATGGATTCAAAAATAGGTATAACTTTGTAAAACATGGAAGAACTATTACTCTTGTACCCTTAACACTACAACAAGCCTATGGGGACCAATTGAGGTTGAGAGATGAGGAAAAAAAAAGAAAGGCAACAAGAGACAAAGGACAGTAGGACAAAAGAAAGAGATGTGGTTCATTGTGAGGGAAAAAGAGTAGAGCCACAAGAGAGAAAAAGTAAAAGAACCTTTTGAGATGAGAGAAAAACCCAAAATTTGGCTTCTATGCGAAAAAGAATAAGATTGAGAGTGCTTTGATGA